CGGCAGGCCTGGGGATCAAACCCGTGGCCCCTGCACCTGCTTGTAAGCGCTTTAATCCACTGAGCTATTTGGCCCGTCCTGGATGTGTGGTATTAAGAGGTAAGGTGGATTCATTCATTCCATTCATATAGAATATTGACGGGAGGCCGGCTCAGGTCCTGGTGCAGCTGGCCACATGGGTAGGCCAGGCCCTCCACAAGCTGGCAGTGAAGCTCAGTCATTACAGCTACTCCCTGATCTTCAAAGGAAAACAGTGGCTTCCTTAGGCTGGACACGAGAAACAAAGCAGCACGAGGCCAGAGTATCAGGAACTGGGATGCTTCCCTGGCAGCAGCCCCTCCACTCCTGTTGCTTTCTGACAGCTTCTCTAAGGTGGTCCCTAGTGCTTTCTGCCACCTGCTGTTGTCCCAAGGCAGTGGTGGCGAACCTGTGGCACACGTACCATAGCAGGCTGTTTGTATCATTGAAAGGTCTAGAAAGTTCACCATCACTGTCCCAAAGGAAGCCCGAGTTAGCCCATGATCCTTGTTCCAGAGGGGCACTCTGCTGCTGACCTATATCCTCGGCCCTTTTTATTTTTATTTTTTTATTTATTTATTTTATTTGTGTGTGTGTGTGTGTGTGTGTGGCCAACTCAGCCCACCAGGGGGCGGGGCTGGCTGGCATGTGGTGCTGGGGGATTGAACCATGGTCCCTGTGCTTTGCTAAGCTTGTCCCAAGTAGGTGCTTTAGACCACTGAGCCATCTCACCAGCCCCTTTGTATTTGTTTTGAGACAGACTAAGTTGCCAGGGAACCTCAAACTTGTGGTCCCGCCTCAAGTGTATATGTGACATTTTATGCAGGATTTGCAAAGAATGGGAGGGGAGATAGCTCAGTAGAATAAGTGCCTTCCAGGGGCTGGGGAGATGGCTCAGTACAATAAGTGCTTCCCTGGCAAGCACAAGGGCCTGAGTTCAATCCTTGGTACTGCAAAAAAAAAAAAAAAAGATTTGCAAAGTGTTTTCACCTCTTTTTGAGTGTTTGACCTTTAACTTTCAATGTCCCCAGGAGATAGAGGACTCACTCTCTTAGTATCCAATCCATGGAGAATCAGAGGCATAGAAAGGTTCTGTCATTAGCCCAGGGTCACACAGCCGGAAATACAGAGCCCAGGTTTGGCTTAGATCTGACTCCAAACCCTGCCCTGGAACACCAAAAAGGGCATGTAAATTCCCCCCTGCAGTGGGATAATTATAGACAAACAAACAACACATTAAGGCTGGGCTCCAGAAGCTGGCCAGACCGAGCAGAACAACCTCCAGATGGGTGGGCCAGCTTTGGACTCAAGCTGGCCCTCGCCCTGGCCCAGCCGCACTTCAGGTTTGCTCTGTGAACCCTGCCAAGTCCCCTTTGCTCTCAGCCTCAGTTTTCTTGTCTAAGTTGGTAAGAGGAGGGTCCACTCTCACACCATGGATTCCAGGGTGTGAGAATAGATGCCGCTGAAGGACGGGAGCACTATGCCCTTGGCCAGAGGGCTATGAGCACCCACCCCCACCTCTGACTGAGGGAGACCCCCGGGGCTGCTCCCTACCACCTGCTCTCCACAGGACCTACTTCCCATTCTCCTGCTCCGGAATGAACCGCCTGGCAGCTGTGGTTACCAAATGGTAAGGTGGGCAAGAGGGCTGGTGGGGAGCCCCCTAGGGACCTGCTGCTGCCTTACCTCACCTCCTCCTTCCCTGCATCCCAGGGCCATCATGAGGAAAAGTCTGATCCGGCACTTGGAGGAGCGAGGGGTGCAGGTGAGGACCCACAGGAAGGAAGTTCCCAGCATGCCTAGCAGCAGGGCCCAGTCACTCTACCGCAAGCTCAAGGTGGAAGACTGGTTCACACAACTCCCCTGGATGTGTAGCTGTTGCTCAGTGAGGGGCTGGGTAAATGTGGACACATGGAGCCTGGAGAGGGGGACAGACACCAGGCCAGCCCACTCACCCTCCTGTCCTGTGCATTGGCTATACCCAGGTCATTTAGTTAGCCAATGTCCTCACCACCAGGGGCAGAGGAAGGAAATGAAACAGGCTTGCTTACAAGGCTGTGGGGTCTGGGAGAGCTGAAGCGGGAGCAGCCTCAGGTGGGGCCTCTGCTGGTACAGAGGCACTCGGAGGGTTTCCAGGCCACAGCCTAGAGGAAGCAGCTAAGGCCACAGCAGACAGCTCCGCTGGCCTCCAAGGGAAGAGAACAGGGACTTCAGCCCATGGGGGCGGAAAGCCCTGCGGGTCTTCAGCAGGGGAGAGCTGGCCTCAGTGTGCCCACAGTCAATGGGACCACTGTGTGGGGAAGGGGTGGGGTCCGTGTGGAAGCTGGGTCTCTTTAGGCGGCAGTGGGGATGGGGGAGCAGGGGGACGAACTCAGAGAGCCCAGACTTGGCTGCTGACCAGCTGTTGGAGTGAGGAAGGCATTAGGATGACGAAGCTCTTTCTGATCAACCTCACACTGGATCTTCCTAATTTTGTGAGATTGGATCATAATGCTTAGGCGCCCAGCTGAGAAACAGAGAGGTGCAGTGATTTGCCTAGGCAAAAAGTAAGATAAAAAATAAATTCATTGTTATGGGAGGAGGGTTGAACCCAGGGCCTTTGCACGGAGCTCCTCCCCAGTTTATTTGTTTACTCATTTATTTAATTTGTCTTTTTGAGACAGGGTCTTGCCATGTAGCTCAAGCTGGCCTCTAGCTCACTTTGTAGCCCAGGCTGGTCTCCCACTCCCAATGATCCTCCTGCCTCAGCCTCCTGAGTGCTGAGATTACAGGCGTGTGTCATTATGCCTGGCTTAATTTTTTTATTTTGGAACAGGGTCTTAATCACTAAGTGGGCCAGGCTGAGCTTCAGCTTATGCTCTTGCCTCAGCCTCCCTGCGAGCTGGGAGTACAGACGTAGGCCACCACACCCAGCTCCACTGAATTTTTAATGATGACTGTGAAATCACCTGTTTGCAAAATTCCTGAAAAGTTAATAACAGGTTCCAGCGTATTGCTAGTGGGAAGCCTCCAGTGCTGAGGGAGGGCCCCTGGGTGGAAGGGAGGCTCCGGCTGAAGTGACTGGGAAACTGTCAAGTGCTGCTCTCCCTGCTCAGGTGGTATTCTGGTGCCTCAATGAAGAGTCGGATTTTGAAGCAGCCTTCAACCTGGGGGCTACCGGTGTCATGACTGATTACCCAACAGCCCTGAGACAGTACCTGGATGCCCACGGACATGTGACCACCCAGGCCTCCTAAGTCTGCGGCTTCTCTGTTTTCCTTCCTGAAAAATAAATACTTTCTTTTCAGTCACAGTTGTGCTTGAAGTGAGGGGTAGAGGGTGGATCTTGGAAGGCTGAAGATGGCAGCTGGGGCAGATGGCGTCAGCCCCGGGTCAGAGCCCGGGGACCAGCCAGCCTGGCCACTTGTTCCACCACATTCCAGAGCCAGAGTCACACCACACCCCATGCCAGCTTGGCCTCTGGCTCTCAGGGATATCTCTTGCAGAGCCAACCTAGGTGTTGTCAACCTCTTGAGGGCCACAAACACTTGTCCCGTTCTCCTGCCCTTTGTCCCATGGGCTGCCCGACCAACCTGCAGAGGGTGGCTACGAGTTTGCAGCCACTTGCTCCCACACTGCACCAACTTGCCATCCAGGGTCTTCCCTCTCCAGGGCTGAAACCTTACTGAGCGAATGTGCCTGTCACCCAGGTGCTTACCAAGTGTCCACTCTAGGCCACGCCAGGGGCTGCAGTAAACCTCAGAAGACTAAATGTGGCCGACCCATGTTGAAACATTCTCACCCCAGGCCAAGCCCATCCTGGAGAGTAGGGGCATCAAAGAAGGCTCCCTAGAGGAGGTGATACTCAGTAGAAACCGGCTTCTTCCGCGGTGTAGTTCCCAGGGGCCTAACAGCAACGCACCTGCACCTCCTCTTCTAAGGTGAAATAAGTGTTCCTGCTGCTATGACAAAACCCATAGAACGAGGCCAAAAGGAGAATTCCAACTTTCCTGCCTGCCAGCTAATTTCGGGAGAGATGCTAGACCTCTCGGAGGCTCACTCGCTGCTAAAATGGAGACAATAGGAGAGACTGCTTTTTAGGGCTGCTGCAGGAATTAAGAGCAGGACACAGACGATAGGTAAAAGCAGATAGTTATGACTGTCACTTCCCGAAGGTGTGCAACCCAGACACCATCCTCATCCTCAATCCACGTTGGGTATGGGCCTCAGGTCCTTGCCCCTTCAAGCACCGCATCAAGCCAAGAGGACCAGGAGGTTCAGTCCCGCTGAGCTGCTAAGCTGCTGGGTTGCGGCCCGCATCCGCATTTCCGGGCCGGCGGGAGCGGGCAGCAGGGGGATGGGCAGCCCGGCCCTACGCGGGCCGCCTTGTGACGCGCCCCCTCATTTGCATGCCCCACGCGGATTGGCCACGGCGGCCGCCGGGACGGGAGGCCGGCTCCGTCCCCCTCCCCCTCCCGCCGCAGCCGCCGCGCAGCTGGTCTCGGTGTAAACAAGTCCAGGCGGCTGCGAACCCCGGCCGGGGAGGGGGGACGGCGCCCATTAGGAGCGCCCCCCACTCCTGGACCAGGCCACACCGCGGACCGGACCCCCGCCCGCCCAGGCGAGGTGAGGCCCGCGCCCCTGCCCCACCGGCGAGGACTGCTCCCTTTCCCCCGGCGCCCGCCCCCAACCCCGCGCCCCAGGTGAGCCCTGGGGTCTCAGGTGAGATCCGCGAAGCAGGTAAGATCCCTTCGGCAGAGATCAGGCTCCAAAGTCCCCAGGTAAGAGCACCTACCCTCCCAGGTGACCCTCCAGTGAGGCCTCTTGCCTCCTCCAGATGAGGGACCCTCTCCCCAGGTGAACTCTCTATACCTCGAAGTAGCCCCACTCACAATCCAGATGGGGTCCTAAGGACCACCCAGTTGCTAAGCGCACGGGCTCCCCCTACACTGGGAACTGGCAGCCCATCCACAATAAAGCCCCTCTTCCTTCAGATGCCAGGTCAGCAGGGGTAAGCCGAGAAGAAGCAGGTGGGTGACTCACCTCGCGCTCTTCCTAGCCTCAGTTTCCCTGGTGATGCAACTCAAGGCCTCATCACTGAGTCAGAACTAAGACTGGTCCCTGGTGAGGCTGCTGGCTCTGGGGACAGGAGAGAGCAGCCACGTGTGACAGACAAGAGTCCTCTGGAGCTGGGCGAGCCTGAGTGTGTGGCCTGGGTCCTGACAGCCCACATCCTCCCTTCCTGGCAGGCACTGGGCTCCCTCTGCTCCCCGTGGGCCGCTCCCCGCGTGGGGCCACTGCCCCTGGCCCCCGCCATGGTGCGGATTTCAAAGCCCAAGACGTTTCAGGCCTACTTGGATGATTGTCACCGGAGGTACAGCTGTGCCCACTGCCGTGCTCACTTGGCCAACCACGACGACCTCATCTCCAAGGTAACCAGGCCACAGTGGAGGCCCGAGTGGAGGCCAGGGTGGGAGGCCAGAGGGGCTGTCCGCAGTTTCACACCAGTAGCCCTGACCGCCCCACCCTCTCTGCTTGCTTACCTTTCAGTCTTTCCAGGGCAGTCAGGGGCGTGCCTACCTCTTCAACTCTGTGTGAGTACCTGGACTCCTTCCTTTCCCGACCCGGTGTGGTGATCCAGCATCATGCTGAGACACCCAGAGTCCCCTGGCTCAGGTTTTAGAAGCCGCGTTCACCCTTCTCTTGGATGCTAAGGACAGACACAAGCTTGAGGGGGGTCTATGATGGCAGGACCCTCCCTGGGACTGCCCCATGTCCCTGCAGGGTAAACGTGGGCTGCGGGCCAGCCGAGGAGCGGGTACTGCTGACCGGCCTTCATGCTGTCGCTGACATCCACTGCGAGAACTGCAAGACTACTTTGGGCTGGAAATATGTAAGTCTGCCCTCTGACCTCAGGCTCACCTTTGACCTGACCTCAACAACTCACCTTTCATTCAGACTGCATAGGCCCAGCACAGACAGGTCACACTGTCTTCACCCCATGTTTTTTTTTTGTCAAAGGCTTTTAGAATTTTTCTCTTAATCCCGGTCCTCAAAGGTGCTAGCATCTCTATTTTAGAGATGAAGATATATGCGGAGTTACCATTTAGTGAATACTTACAGCTGTACAGTTCTTGCTTGGCATATATTCTTCTTCTTCTTTTTTTTTTGTTCCTCGAATGCCTTCAGGGCACTTTTGGCCAGCGGGATAGTTGTGAGGTTCGAACTCCAGCAACCTGAGGCTGACAGCTTTGTGGAAGCAGCCACTTAAAGCCCTGAGCTAGGGCCAGGCCCCCTTGGCATATATTCTTATCCAAGCCTTATAGTAGTCATATAAATAGACCCTATTACATGTTTTGCAGAAAACAGGGAAGCCCAGAGATGTTAGCTACCTTGCCCAAGATCACACAACTGGTAACAGAATAGGGACCAGAATCTTAGCTTGTAGGTTAACTCCAGACCATTGGCCACCAGCTTGTCACAAGATCAGAGAAGTTCTTTAGGACCCCACAGAAACATGCATCTTGCATCCCACTGGTTCTGCTGCTGTGCTGCCCAGGATCTGATTTTATTCTGAATCTCATTTCTTTATATTGGAGAATAAAGCTAACACCTGGCTCCCAAGACTGTTGCAGGAATCCGTGTAGATGTACCACTGATGTTCTTAGAAATCTCCAAGGGACAGGATTGCTGTTGTTGCTTGGAGTGCTTTTCTTTCTTGACATGGATGCCGGAGGCAGACAGCCCTGATCTGCGTTCACCTCTGGCCCTGCCACAGATTTTGTGTGCCTCTGAATAGGTCATATGGGGGGCCAGGGAGATGGCTCAGTGGAATAAGCGCTTCCCTGGCAAGTGCAGGGGCCTGAGTTCAATCCCCGGTTCCGCAAAAAAAAAAAAAAAAAAAAGAATTAAGTCAAAAAAAAAAGAAGTCGTATGGCTTCTCTGAGCTACTGTAAAATAACAAGGTGGCCTTCTGAGGTTAAAAACCCAAGTGCCTGCAAAGCTAAGCAGATACTGTGGATTTGTAAAAGTGGTGACAAGGCTAAGGTAGTGGGAAGAACAGGGCAAGGCAAACAGGAGTGAGCCCACATGCTCAAAATATTTAGTATTTTAAATATTTTTTTGTTTTGTGGTGCTGGGATTGAACCCAGGACCTCATGTGTGCATGGCCAGCGCTCTGTTCATGAGCTACATGCCCAGTCCCTAAAGTTATTTTTATTAATCTCTCTGCTGTCTTAAAAAAAAAATCCACGTGGGGGCTGAAGTGGCCCTGAGGCCACCAGTGTGTAATCCCTGGACTATGAAATCTTTTATGCATTTCCATATCCTCTCTGTTGGAGCAGTCCTTAATGTTTAAAAAGCACAGGTGAGCCAGGCCTAGTGGCCCAGGCCTGTGATCCCAGCACCCAGGAAGCTGAGACAGGAAGATCACCTTGATTTTGAAGCCAGCCTGGGCTACGCAGGAAGACCCTGTCTCCTTAAAAGCAAAGAACAACAACAAAAGTGATTCACAGTTCTGCCCATTCCTTGTTAGTGAGAAGCAAAGCCCTGCTATTTGCCAGCTCTGTGTCTATGGGCAGGTAGCTTGATTTCTCAGTGCCACAGTTTCCCCGTATGTAATACACCACCATATTCTCTCCCCAGGCCTTACTTAGGCCTTGGAGTTAAAGCTCTCTCCCAGGGATGACAGGCCCTCCCCTCCTTTCAGGAGCAGGCCTTCGAGAGCAGCCAGAAGTACAAAGAGGGGAAGTACATCATTGAACTCAACCACATGATTAAAGACAACGGCTGGGACTGACTCCTGCTCCTGACTCATGTGGCTCCAGCCTGGCCTGGCCGCCAGGGGCCGCCACTGGCTTCCCTCTGCCTGGAGGGAGCTCTGAATCCCGCAGGGCCCCTTGCGGAGGAAGGACCCCGCACCTGTACATATATTTTATTGCATGCCCTGTGACCTCGGGGGGGGAGATCAGAAGGACAACGACACCCCTGCACCTCCCTGCGATCTGGCTGGCTTGGATCTCATTTTTAACCCTGTCCTGCCCCGCCTGCCCCAAAGATATGGCCTGCGTGCTGCTCTCTCGGCCCCAGTACACCGTCTGCCTTGTGAACTCTCCTCCCACCGGGCCCCTTTTACCCCACGCGTGTCTGTTCCCCTTGTTCTGTAGCATTTGTACATAATAAAACAATGGAGTGCAGACAGCCCCAGGCTCACGTGGAATCCGGGAAAGGGAATTCCAATCTAGACTCCTGCCTCCTATGTATAGAACTGCTCTGTTCTGAGCCTCAGTTGGGACACCGGGTAGGCACTGCTATCCAGGACTGCACTACCCGAGAAGATCGTGGTGCCTGCACTGGCCCCTAGGCCTTGACCTCCTCTGATCCCCATCTTCTCGGCCGCAGTGCTAGGGCGCCCCCTAGGGGAAGCTCTGGGAGAAGGTCTCCGGATTCGCCGACTACGACTCCCAATGGTCCTAGCGCAGTCTGTTGGTCTCCCTTGCGCGCCTTGGCGCGAGGCCTATTGGGAAATGTAGTTCAAGTGACTCCCGACGCGAGCCGGCTGCAACCCTGCGGGAGACAAGAGGATGGTTGTGTGGGGCGCGCCCATTAACTTTTGGGACTTGGTAGAAGGTGCAGGTTTTTTCAGCATGGGAACCAGGGTGGATGCCAGGATTCAGCCCTCTGCTGCGGACTCCTCGAGATCCTCAGTGTCCCGTGTAATAAGCTCAGACCAGGTTCTTCCAACCCAGCGCTTCCCTTCAGTTACGAACCTTTCCACCAAGACCATTTAGTTTCCCAAGTGAAGAAGACTTGCCAGAAAGTCTGAAACGCTAGGGTGGGTCCCAGGACCCCAGTCTCGGTCCTAGGGCCCAGGCCCCACCCCCGTAGCTTATCCTTAGCCGGGGCTCCCCCCGTGGGAACTGGGACCAGCTGGCCGGAAGCACCAAACTGCGTTTCTGTCCAAGCCCTGGGGATCAATCAGGCCGAAGAGTTAATTATGTAATGAGGGGGCAGGGGGTCGGGGCTAATGAAGTCGCCCAAGGAGGAGGGGGAGGGGACCCAGGTATCCGGCCCCCTCTTGGATCTCCTCGAAGCCCCAGGGATCTTCACTCCAGTCCACCTCCAGGGCCCCAAAGAGGGGAGGGGCTGTGATCCCGGGTCTGCAAGGGGCTGAGCTGTGAGCTATAAAGGGGCATCTCTCAGCACTTGGGGACTCCAGGCAGCGTGACCTGAGAGGCCAGCAGGACTACAACATGTACCATCCTCGAGAGTTGTACCCATCCCTGGGGACCGGCTACCGTCTGGGCCCCCCCCAGTCTGGGGCCGACTCCAGCTTCCCTACTGCCCTGGCAGAGGGCTACCGCTATCCGGGTGAGCTGTGGGACCAGCTCCTGGCTAGGGGGACTGGGGGGTGTGACCCGGGGCCGCAGCCTCCTGATTCTTCCCACACCTCCAGATTTAGACACCCCCAAACTGGATTGCTACCTCTCTGGGATTGAAACTGCACCACGTACCCTGGCTGCACCCCCACCTCTGCCCCTTCTGCCCCCCACTCTGGGCACTGAGCCAGCCCTGCCAGCCCCAGAGGCCCTTCACTCGCTCCCTGGGGTCAGCTTGAGCCTGGAGAACCAGGAGTTGTGGAAGGAGTTCAGCGCTGTGGGGACAGAGATGATCATCACCAAAGCTGGCAGGTGAGGGTCGGCCAGGTCAGAGTGTGGGCCAGGGTCTCAGGAGAGGCATAGTTCCTGGGATGGGGCTAGGTTTGGGGATTTCTCTGGGACTAGAGCTCTGCCAACATTTGGTCACTACTGCCTGGGAAACAGGCAAACTCTGTTGATGGAATCAAGAGTCATTCTGTGGCAAGGGTCAAGGGTCAGTTTGGGAGTCTTAACTGGGTTTAGGGGCCAGTCTACCAAGGGTCATAGGTCAGTGTACCCCAGGGGCAGGAAATCTAAGTGGCTTATAGATGAGTGGATGGCCTAGATCAGTAGATCGGGGGTCAGTCTGTGGCTGGAATTTGGGTTCAGACTGACTGGGAACGATCAGGAAGTGACCAGCATCAGGGAAATCTGCCGAGGATCACGGGTCAACGTGTGACATGAGTAGAAATCAGTATGTGACTAGGTCCAAGCTCACCATAGTGGCAAGGACTTTATCTAGGATCAGAGCTCAAGCCCTAGCACAGTAAATTCTCTGCCCCACTGAAGGCAAGCCCCTGGTGGGGTGGGGAGCATGCTAGGGAATGAACCCACAGCTGTCCTACCACCGAACCACCTCGCCAGCCATATACATTATTATTATTATTATCATCATCATCATCATCATCATCGTTACTACTGCTGCTGCTACAGGGGCTTGCTAAATTGCCCAAGTGGGACTTGAACTTGTGATCGTCCTACTTCAGCCTTAGTTGCAGGGACTACAGGCATCCCAGTTCAGGACACATTTTTTTCTGAAGCAGCTCCTAGCAAGATTTCAGGGAGGAAAGTTAGTCACCACTGTTTTTGCAAATAGTTTGAGGAATTAAGGGTCAGGATCCTGGCTCTGCGCCTAACCTGCAGTGTGATTCCTGTCAGAGCCCCTATGCTGCTTGTTTTTTAGGGTTTTTTTTGTGGAACTGGGGATTGAACTCAGGCCCTTGCGCTTGCCAGGGAAGCGCTTATTCTACTGAGCCATCTCTCTGGCCCCTATCCTGCTTGTTGTTTCTCCATCCGTGGAACGGAGCAAGAAGCCCTCCAGCTCTAAGCTTCTGCCCTCTGGGTTCCAATTTCACCTTCCTGGGGTTCCTCTGGCAGAACTGCCAACAGCCGCTTCGCTGGGGCCGTGCCTTCCTCTGGCCAGCGTAGCTCCAGGCCTCTCCCCTCCCTCCCTTCCCTGTGCAGACGCATGTTCCCTGCTTGCCGGGTGTCAGTTACTGGCCTGGACCCCGAGGCCCGTTACCTGTTTCTTCTGGATGTTGTGCCAGTGGATGGGGCTCGCTATCGCTGGCAGGGGCGGCGCTGGGAACCCAGTGGCAAGGCAGAGCCCAGGCTACCGGACCGCGTCTACATTCACCCCGACTCTCCTGCCACCGGTGCCCACTGGATGCGGCAGCCTGTGTCCTTCCATCGTGTCAAGCTCACCAACAGCACCCTGGACCCCCATGGCCATGTGAGGCCCAGGCTGGGACCCCAGGAGACGTTAGGGTGGGGTAGCAGGGAGGGGCCCAGGGCAGGGAGTCACCCAACTTCTTCTCTCCCAGCTGATCTTGCACTCCATGCATAAGTACCAGCCCCGCATACACCTGGTGCGGGCTGCCCAACTCTGCAGCCAGCACTGGGGGGGCGTGGCCTCCTTCCGCTTCCCTGAGACCACTTTCATCTCGGTGACAGCCTACCAGAACCCACGGGTGAGTGCCTGTGCTGCAGGGGGTGGCAGTGCCCGACCCAGGCCACAGTCACTTTGACCTGGTTGTCTGCCCCCAGATCACACAGCTGAAGATCGCAGCCAATCCCTTTGCTAAAGGCTTCCGGGAGAATGGCAGAAACTGTAAGAGGTGGGCCTCTTTCACTTGCCTACGCATTCACTCAACAAATGCTTACCAGTTGGTCCCTGTGTGCCAGCCGCTGTGCTGGGGACCAAGAACATGACAGTCGGGGAAAGCATTTATCTCACTGACTCCACAAGAACTTATTTACTACTTAGTACCTGCTGTGTGCCAGTCAGCATTGTAGGTGTTGTAGGTATGTTGGTAAATAAGGCAAGCCAGAGCTCAGCATGCCCTCATGAAACTGGGGAGAGTGGACAAGTCAACAAGAGAAAAAACATATTTAGGGACAAGTTCTAAAGTCAGGAGAATTAAAGAAGGTGATGCACGCCTGTAATCCCAGCACTTGGAGGCTGAGGCAGAAGGATCCTCCTAAGTTTGAAGTCATCTGGAGCTACACAGTGAGTTCAAAGCCTGAACTATGTAGTGAGACCTGGTCTCACAAAACAGTACAAAAAGTGGGGGGGATAGGAAGGACTGGGGTGCAGTATTAGTGACCTAGAAAGGCCTCCTTGAGAAGAGGACATTTGGGGAGGAAGCCATGTGGCTAGCTGGGGAAAACCATGCCACGGAGTGAAGCCACACATGCGAGGGCCCTGAGGCAGTAAAGGCTGAGCAAGGACTTGGGCTCCTCGGGATGGACTTCTGCCTTTGAGGAGCTCTCAGTCAGCAGAGACAGACGTGAACCATGGGATCACTGACCAAATGGAAACGTGGAACTGTGGCAGGGCGTATGGCGCAGGTGGAGGCCGGGAGGAAGAGGCAGAAGGCAGCTGATGGAGATGGGGCAGAGCGTGAAGGGCTTGGGAAGGGTTCAACTGATAGCAAACGGAGTACGAAAGCACAGAGAAGTACAAGGGGCGGATAAATCCCAGACCTGCTCCTAACTGCTTAATTCGCTAGCCTTCAGTTCTTTCATCTGTAAAATGGGTACAGTAATGATACCGATGGTGCTGGGGATATAGCTCAGTGGCATAACCGCCTGCTAAGTACTACCAACATCACCACCATCATGATCACTGTGTTCTCCAGGGAGCGAGATGCCCGCGTGAAGAGGAAACTTCGGAGCTCAGACCCAGTGGCCACAGAGGCCTACGGGAGCGGAGGTGAGCAGCAGCCTGACTGCGACTGGCCGGCCTGAGACTCTGACCCTGCTTAGCCCAACAGCCTATCCTGTTTGCCTCCCAGATACCCCAGGGGGTCCCTGTGACTCCACCCTGGGAGGAGACATTCGTGAGTCAGATCCAGAGCAGGCTCCTGCGCCCGGGGAAGCCGCCCCTGCCGCAGCTCCTCCGTGCAGTGGCCCCAGTGCTGAGGCCTACCTCCTGCACCCTGCAGCCTTCCATGGGGCCACAGGTCACCTACCAACCAGGTGAGCCGGGCAAGGACACAAAGCTGGGAGGTTCCCTGAAAAGGGCAGGGTTCCCTGTTCTGACACATCTGCCTCTCCTTCAGGAACCCCAGCTTCCCAGAAGCTCCAGAGTCTGGGCGCCCAGCCCCCTACTCAGCTGCATTCTTGGAGCTCCAGCCTGGAGCAGGGAGCTCAGGCTACCCAGCAGCTCCACCTGCTGCACCCTTCGCCCCACACTTCCTGCAGGGGAGCCCCTTCCCCCTACCATATCCAGGACCTGGGGGCTACCTGGATATGGGCTCCAAGCCTATGTACTGAGCTGTCAGAGCCACTGTCCCTCCACTTTCCATCACCAGCCTGCTGTTCCCTTCCCCCAGCCCTGTGGCCCCTCATTCCATGGCCCCATCCCCCACACCAAATGGCTGCCCCCCCCTTCACACCTTGATTTCACTCCCACCCTCCTCTGGCTTCAAAGCTCGGGCAAGGCTGCTGGGAGTCCAGCTGGGGCCAGCTTCCCCTTCCCAGCTCTCACCTCGGTGTGAATGGAAGGAGGCTCTGCCTGGCCAAATGGGCCACAGCCCAGCACCTCCTGGGGCCTCCCTCACTGCCAGTGTGAGGCAGACCAGTTTGTTCTCAGGACCAGATCATTTTGTTAATAAAACTCAAAAGGCACCAGTGTTCAGGAAATGTTGGGCTCATGGTATTGACCCTGGGAAGGGTGGGGGGTGGCAAGGCTTTCCAGGGAGACCAGGCAAAATGAGAACTGCCAGGTTCTAGCTGCCCGACCCTGTGCTCGACCATCAGCCTTCAGCCTGCTGCGGCTGGCTTCCTCCTCAGAAAAGCTGGGGATCTGAAGACACTGGCTGTTGAGGTGGAGGCTGCCCCGGAGAACCTGCCCGCTAGGGCCAAGGATACCTGCAGGGAGTGGGCAGGCCAGGCTGGGCCCCGCCCTCCCCACAGGGTGGGCCGGGGGCAGGGCAGGTTGCCCAAGCCAGGGTCTCTGCCCGCCCCCAACCAAATCTGACACCAGCCTGAATATCACTTTTCTTCTTTTATTAGAATTTTTTTCTTTTTTTCTCAAAACTTTTATCTAAAAACAAAAAAGAAAAAAAAAAGAAAGAAAACAAAAAATTACTGGAAACTTGATGGTTTAAGTGGGGAGAAAGGAGAGGAGGAGCGTGATGTGAAGGCTCTACCTTCTCCAGAGAAAGTCCTCACCCTTGAAATGCGCCCTGGAGGGAGAGCCAGCTGGGGACAACCCCTCCACCCCCAGCATCTGGGGCGAGGGCAGAGTCACAGTGGTCCAAGGGCCAGAGAGGTCGAGAGGGGCAGGGGCCGAGGGGTCACAGGAAGTAATCGGCCACAGGCTTCTTGGAGGGGATGCCCCGTGTCTCCTGGGGAGCAGCCTCGAAAATGATGAAGTCTTTCTGGAGATGCTCGTCCAGCTCCAAGATGGCCGCCACATTCCCGCAGCTGGAGGAGGGGGCGGTGGAGTCAGGGCCAGGTCAGCCTAGGTCCCCAACCCAAGCTCCTGGCCGTGGCAGCTCACCGGTAGCAGTAGTTGGGTGCTGACCACACAGTGAGCACGGTCTCATTGAAGTGCCACTTATAACCCTCCATGACTAGTTGGTGGGCTCGGCAGATCATGTCAATGTCGTTGGCTGCATTAAACTGGGCCACCACATCACTGCCGAATAGGTAGCCAGCCCCTCGCGGGCTCACGCCCCAGCCTGTCGTGTCTGAGGCAGATAAAGCAGAGATGAGAGCAGGTCCTCAGGGCCCCACTAGCCCTTGAAGGGGACTGTTCTGCGCCCCCACCCCAACCACCAGAGGCCTAAAGTCAAGAGCACAAGACTGAAACACTTCCCAGGAGTTTCTGGGGGGCAGGATGAGGAGAGGCTCAACCTGCACACCAGCAGGACCTTTTATGAGTACCGTGCTAACCCATTATGCAATTGGAGCTTCCCAGCAGGCCCTTTTAGAGACAAGGGTCTAACCTGCAACCCAAAACTCACTTATTTATCGTAAAGTGGCAAGACTGCAATTATACCTGAATGAGGTTTTAATTTAGAAAAAAAACAACAAATCTCATACATTAACATCTTTTGTCATAAATGGAGAATAACATGTTCACCACAGCTGTCCTGTGCCCTAACGAAGCACTCTGGAGTGGCAGCAACAGGGGGAGGCAAGCCCTGGAGCAGGACTCAGGAGAACAGGCCTTTAAGCTGTGCTCTGTGCCTCTTTAGAGCAGATTCCCACAGATCATCCCCAGGCAGCAAGCGTCTGGCGCCTGACCTCTGAAGTACTACTGGGTTTGCAAGCTCTTCACATCCGGGAGCAGGACCAGCACACTTCCCGGCTGCGCTCCAGCATCCCACCACCCCCAGTCTGTGCTCCTGAGGATCACCAGCATGGACCAGCCCGCCCTCCTCCTCCCACGCTTCCCTGGCCTGACTGTCCCTCCCAGGTACTTGCTTTAATCAGGCCGGACTCAGCGTGGTCCTGCCCATCCACCGCCTTTACCTTCAGGGTCGGACCAGAGGAGGTCACACATGGGCCCGTCATGAGGCACCTCTTGCTTTCGGTCAATTGTCCGGATCTGGTCCAGGGTCTGGATGGAGGGAGAGAGGCCCCCGTGCACACAGAAGATCTGGAAGAAGAACAAAGCCAGACAGAAGGGAGGCAGGGGCCCAGGATCTCTCCCATCACTCTACCCCTAGCAGTCCCATGGCAACACTACCTTGCCATCAATGATGGCCGACAGGCTGAGGTAGTCGAAGATCTCAGTGCAGTAGCGCCACACAGTCACTGAGCCGTATTTGCGTAGGCACTCGTCATAGAAGCCATAGACTTGGGTGATCTGGCGGCTTTCATGGTTGCCCCGAATGAGGGTGATACGGTCGGGGTAGCGAACCTAGGAGGTCACCAAACCAGTGGCAGGGGCTGGGCTATGTCACCTATTCTGGCCCCAACTCCCACATATCTGCCACTCTCAGTCAGTTCTTATAACTGCTGTCCCAGCCCCAGCCCCTCACCTCAAGCTGCACCACCTGCCTCACAGGCCCCCAGTGCCTCCTCAGGAAGCAAACCTTGCCCCTGACCCTTAACTACAAAACCAATGGCTCCTCTTTCACCCTCCAGACACAGACCCAAAGACATTCAGGGCCCTCTCCACCCCCTTCTCTAAAGCACGCTGCACAGCGGTCCCCACAGCTGCCCCTTCCTGAATACAGAAGGTCTATTTGCACCCTCTACCAGGACCTGCCCTGCTAGCCTTGCCTTCCTGTCCCTAGGGCAGGGTACTGTTCTCTTGTAACACAGCTCCACAGTAGGGATTAGAGGAGGGTGGCCCGCAGTGGCCCAGGGGCAGGCTCCAGAGGCCAGGAGCTCCTACCTTCAACGCCAGCAGCAGGAGAAAGGTTTCCACACTGTAGAAACCCCGGTCTACAAAGTCCCCCATGAAGAGGTAGTTGGTCTCAGGGACGTCGCCACCCACCTGTGGAAGGGACAAAGTTCTGTTTGGTCCTCAACAGCACCCTCTCCATTGGAGCTGCCCATGCTCCATTCAGCCAAGACCCCTCTTTCATAAAGTCTACCCAACCAGAGGCCTCCTGCCCTCTCCATGCCCACCAAGTGGGTCTTCCAGCTACCATGGGTCCTGTGCACTCCCCACACTCACTCTGAACAGCTCCTTGAGATCATAGAATTGTCCATGGATGTCACCACACACCTGGGAAATGGAAGGTGGGTTGGCACTCGGAGCAGACAAAGGGGGAGTCCCTCTGCTACCAGCAACTAGCTTTCCACAACCTCATGGTTCTGGCTGCACTGCTATGTCTCAGCTTCAAGTCTAACCCCCCACTTCAAGTCAGCCTCCTCTGGCATCACCCACAATTCCATGCTGATAGCCAACGATTGGACAAGAGTCAGAGTTAAATCTTTCCACAGACTGACTTCTCTCAGGGGACCTGGCCCCCCTCTCCCTGGTGCCCCCAAGGTATGCAGAATATTTAACGCAACAGAGCCACCGAACTTCCCATTTCTTACAGTGCAGATAGGGGAGGTGTCAGAGGTAAGGGGATTTCTGGCTTCCAGGAATGAGAAGTGTCCATGTGGGGCCAGTAAGGAGAAAGCCCATGTGCCTGAGGGCCAGGCCAGGCTACTGGGGCAGACAGTACTTACTGTGACTGGCGAGTCCACCCTCTGCACGTTACTCTCTTCTACCAAGATTTCTCTGGAGACAGGAGAAGACCAGGGTCACCACAGCCAGGCCAGCTCCACCCAACCCCTGACCTCCTCTGAGGGGGAAGGGAGGACATGAGGTGGTCCCTGAACCTCCAGGGGGGACAGAAGGAATTTCCCTAGGACTGGCTGACCACAGCCTTCCACCACGGAGCACCCTTCCACGGCTCCACGCTGCCAACAGGACAGAGGCCCAGCCCTCTGAGCAGGCTGTGATTTCCAGCCTTAATTCTCTTTGCTGCTCCCTCTCCTGCCTCCAGCACAGACTCTACAAAGACGGGTCATTCTCTCCACATGGCCCGTTTGCCCTCGAGTGTCCCTTAGCTAAATTCTGAACTCTACAATCATAGGGTCCTTCTCTCAAACTGTCCAAAGGGAGAGGTTGAAGGCCAACCCCATGCACCTTCAAAGAATGATATGCTATTCCCACCTTTCTGACATAACATGTTCCTGCTAACTTGAACCACTCAGTGGCAGTACAAAAGCATCTAATCACTTTTATTGGTCTTTTTAGTAATAAAATTAGTTCAAGCTGCCCAAAGGGACATCACGCATGTACCTGTGGTTCAAGTCAGTGGGAACATACCACACTGAAATCAGAGCTACCTGGCACCAAGACATGAAGTACACCTGTTGTGAACATGATAAAGATAGTGATGGGTAGGAATGTGGCTCAAAAGTAGAGAACTTGCCTAGAAACAGCAAAGACTTTAATGGTCTTTTTCCTTAAGGTGCAGCCTCACCTGCGTACAAATGCACATGAGATAAAATCACTGGGCCAGCTATAGGTATTCAGTTTAAGCACGACTATACATCCACATTTTGCCCAACACCAGCACCCAGTCCACCTGCTATGAGTGCATTAGGAGCTTTGCACAAATTGATGAGGCTGAAGAAACACCCTCAAGGACAGGAACTCCCAAGGTAGACACAGAGGCTAAGGCACAGAAGGTTACAGGTTTGGCCAGTCACAGACATGGGATTTGAAGCACAGTAGTCTGTCTCTAAGGTCTAACCCTCTCTTTTGGGATGGATGGGAAGTCTGACTCCTTATCAAGCTATTTAGACAGAAGCGGGCCTCAGACCCCACCTCAGCTCACCCGCTTTCTGCTGGTCTGCCCTCTTTGTAGACTGTGATTTCCCTAGGGAACAGGAAGATTCACCTGTCTCTGTGTTTTCTATGACAAAGGAACACAGGGGAGGGGAGGTGTGCCTTAGCTTCCTGGAAGAGACACTAGTTGTGATCCAGCCAGGCAGGACGACAAGGGGCTCTGCCCCTTGAACCACATCTCATAGGGACCATCATTCCATACCAGCTACTTAGCACGACCTTTCCATGG